ATGACATGGGGGGTAATTGTCCGGGGGGTAATTGTCCGGGGGGTGATTGTCCGGGGGGTATTTGTTCTAGAATCATATAAACAGATGTCTTAGCTGTGGTGTCTGTGAATTTTGAGTTTATTGAAGCACGAATAGTTTAATTAATTATCAAATATATATGCGCGGTATCGCTCATAGGCTAAAATTTCCGCACGTTCGTGAGATTTTTCCCAAAAATGTCAATTTCAACGTTATGAAACTAACATGTGTCTGTATGTATCTAGAATTTTAGAAATGTAACTCAATTCATTCGCGCCATATGATAGTTACTACACTTTTCTACCGTCCATAGCCGTGCGTATATTAGCCTATGAGCGATAACCGCGCATATATTTAGCGTAATTAATTAAACTATTCGTGCTTCAATAAACTCAAAATTCACAGAGACCACAGCTAAGACATATGAGTATTATGTATCTAGAATTTTAGAATTGTAACCCAAATCGTTCGCGCCATATGATAGTTAGTATACTTTTCTACCGTCCATAGCCGTGCGTATACATTAGCCTATATGAGCGATACCGCGCGAATATTTTTGGTAATTAATTCAACTATTTGTGCTTAAATAAACTCAAAATTTTCGGAGACCACAGCTAAGACATTTGTTTATATGTATCTAGAATTTTAGGATTGTAACTCAAATCGTTTGCGCCATATGATAGTTAGTACACTTTTCTACCGTCCATAGCCGTGCGTATACATTAGCCTATATGAGCGATACCGCGCGTATATTTTTGGTAATTAATTAAACTATTCGTGCTTCAATAAACTCAAAATTTACGGAGACTACAGCTAAGACATGTGATTATATGTATCTAGAATTTTAGAATTGTAACTCAAATCGTTCGCGCCCTTTATGATAGTTAGTACATGTGCTGTGGTACGTGTCTGTGAATTTTGAGTTTATTGAAGCACGAATAGTTTAATTAATTATCAAATATATACTCGCGGTATCGATAGGCAAAAATTTCCGCACGTTCGTGAGATTTTTCCCGAAAGTGTCAATTTCAACGTTATGAAATATGTGTCTGTATGTATCTAGAATTTTAGAAATGTAACTCAATTCGTTTGCGCCATATGGCAGAGTTATATATTGTAGGGGATTCGCACTACCGTAGTAGAATGTCTGTAATAGACGGATAGAGATAAAACAAGACAAGAAGTAACGTTCACTGGTGTTTACTCAATCTCTAATACAATACATGAGGTATCCGTGCACTACCGAAAGCAAGAGCGGTTACTACACACTACACCTTTCTCAGCGGGTGGCTGGTACAAGAGCCCCGAGATTTAGGCCGGTGACCGAGATTACGGCACGGTTATGGATTATAATATGCACTTTTTGGTATGCAATAGGAATAATGGATCAGGAAGGGTATGGTTGGGTGGGTGGGTGTATGTTTTGGGCTCTAGGGGTACATTCCCCTCTGTGCTATCCTCCGAGTCATACTTATACCGTGACACCTAAACAGAACGATTACCCCCTCAGGTGAATCTCGTAGTTCTGCTAACGGGCGTAAATCTACCTGTGCCCCTACCTCACTACTCCCGCTCTCTGTCCCACGATTCTGTTCGTGGCCTACCTCAGCGAGTCCGAGGCCGTATATCCCAGGCCCTTGCATTAACCTGTGCGTCTACCTAGCACCTCGACTTATTCCCTTAGAACTATATGCCTTGTCTCGGGAATTCGGGCATTCTACGCATTTCAGAAAACTCGTAACCCGAAATCAAGACCCTCTACCACGCTGTCCAGTAAAGGTTTAATAACTTCACATGTAACACATGCCATCGTTTCTATAGGTAATTCAGTCATGGCTAACGTAAAAAAATAATCTGATGTTGAGGGTGGTGAAGGGGATAGTGGCGGTAACAGTTATAGGTGGAGAAAAGTGCTTTACTATTTCGCTAAGTAATACGCTCGTACCTTTGCAAGCTAGTTTAATACGAAATCTATTTATGCCGACACAAGAACTTGTTTCACTCACCCGCCTCGAAGTATCTCCTTGATTGTTTGTTGTCTTTTCAACTGATATCTCACTATATTGTCGCTGCCCGGCATCAGCTGCTTCCTGTCGGTCCTTGCGTATAGCTGAATCGCGCGTGTTTCTGCGTCGTCCCTGCTTCTTCCGTAGCCAGGTCGTACAAGATCAGTTCTGGCTTATATGCGCTATTTGCAGCGGCATATCACTGTCACTTTGCATTTCCATACATTTTGCTCGTATGGCGAAACTCTGCATAACGAATGTCACAATCTTCTTTTCTTCTCTTTCTTCTTCCTCTTCTCCCACATTTT